GGAAGAAAATGTTTCAGTCATGGAGTGCTGTGAGATGAGGCTGAAAAGAAAAGGAGTAGTCAGATTTAGAAGGGCTTGGATGCCACACGTGGGTTGTTTTTTTCTGTAGGCAGTGCTGAGTCCTTCATTCCTTGCTTTTTGCATACCCACATTCAGTCCTTCAGCAAATCCTTTTGGCCATATATCTCAAATCTGATCATCATCAAAGCTAATCCAAGCTACCATTACCTTCACCAGGATCATATCAACAGCTCCACAATTATTCTGGTGATTAGGTCTCCTTGCTCCCACTTCTGCCCCTCTCTGGTTTACCCTATGCACAGAGAGAGCGTGTTGCCTCTAAAATGTCATTCACAAATGCCCATCAATGATAGACTGGACAAAGAAAATGTGGCACATATACACCATGGAATACTATGCAGCCATAAAAAATGATGATTTTGTGTCCTTTGTAGGGACATGGATGAACCTGGAAACCATAATTCTCAGCAAACTGACACAAGAACAGAAAATCAAATACCATATGTTCTCACTCATTGACAGGTGATGAACAGTGAGAACACATGGACACAGGGAGGGGAGCATCACACTGGCGTCTGTTGGGGGTGGCCAAGTGAGGGACAGTGGTGGGTGGGAGGTTGGGGAGGGATAACATGGGGAGAAATGCCAGATGTAGGTGACAGGGGGATGGAGGAAGCAAACCACAGTGCCGTGGGTGTACCTATGCAACAATCCTGAATAATCTGCACATGTACTCCAGAACCTAAAGTATAACTAAAAAAAACGTCATTCACCAGTGCTCAAACCCCTGATGGCTTCATCCCATCTAGAATAAAATCCGCATTCTTACCAAGGCCTGAAAGACAAGGCCTCACTTGAATTGGCCCAACACTCCCTCACCCTGCCTCATGGCTGACTCTCTCCCCTAATCCCTTTGTGATCATAAAGGACTGTCTTGACTACTCCTTCTAAAAACTTCCCCACCCCATCACTTACTCTCTCATATGTATACATATTTTTATATCTGTTTGCTCATTTCCCATCTTGCCCACAGGAATGCAAGCTTCAAGAAGGTAGAGATGTATCTGTTTTGTTTACTGTTGTATTCCTAGTGCTGAGTACTGAGTACTGAGTATTTATTACATGAATTAAATGAATGAATCAATGAGTGAATTCACAACCATTCAAAACTTGGGAGTGAAATGATCAGATCTGTGTTTCAGGCAGATCACTCTGTCTGTAGTGTGGAGGATGTGTGTAAGGGGGTAGACCTGGGGTCGGGGAGGAAGGTAGACAGGAAGTAAGAGAACCAGTTAGGAAGATCTTGTGTTAGTCCTGGTCAAAATTGTGAAGGACTGGACTAAGGCAATGGTATTTGGCGTGGAGAAAGAGGAGATAGACTGAGAAGTATTTTAGTAATAAAGTTGTCCAAATATGATCAAATTGTATCTGGGCCTCCTTTCAGAATCTTGGCTACATGAGGGAATGATAAAGGATGCCGGAACTGGCAGTGATCCAGTATGGGGTTGTAGGGGCAGGATGATGTTGCCTGAGTGCCTTTTGGGACAAGTGTTTTTTCATCTTAGCATTTCCCTAGGTTAAAATTGCCAAGGCATTCATTGTTTCTTGTGAAGTGCAGAAGCATCATCTTGCTGCAGATCCAAATGACTACAATGAGTTGGATGTAATTTTGGCACCAGATAGATGTTCAATAATAGTTTTAATGATAGTTTCTGCAGCAATTGGGTTTACCCTGGAGGCTTCCCATCTCTGTAATGACTAGGGCCATGCCTGCTTAGTTTATAAGATCTGGCAAAATTACAGGGTGCACTGATAATGCTGTGGGCTGTTGTACAAATTACACCAGGTCTGTCTCCTGTATAGAGGCCTGAGGTGCTTTTCTGAGCCCACTGTCTCTACAGCCTTCAAGAATACTGACTTCAAAGCAAGTGCTACACTCTTAGGAGTTCTACAAGCCATGTACCTAACAAATTAGAAGGGGAACCACAATGCCTAAATTGTGGAAGTATTTGATCTGCTTGAATTTTTTGAAAAAGTATTTGGTGAAACTGATACTTAATAGAATGTCACAATTTTGTTTTCAATATAGTTTGGGAAAGTTCTTTTTAGCTTATTATCTTAGCCAAGGAAAGAGTTATGTGGGCCTCAAATCTATAAACTTTCAAACCAAGAGAGATTATGAAATTATTTTGGATGATTGCAGGAGAGATCTTTCCAAAGTAAAGGTTTATCATATGGGTGATTTAAAACACTACTAGAATTGCCTCTCCAAGCAATGACCTAGAAATCTGACAATGTGATAATGAATTCTCAAACAAATAAAATAAACAAACACAAAAATCACATTGGAACATCTCACAATTGGCAGGATGAAAACTGGCAACAATAACTTCTGGAAAAGTGAGTTGGATCTTATAGCATTAAAATGAGTTTGGGGCCTATAACATGAAGTCAACACTTGCATGAGAATTTTGGAATGCTCAACTTCTCACAATGTCATCATTTCTCTGCCTGACAATTGTAATTATTCCTCATCAACTTGACAGTCAAATTTGCTTCCTGTAGTGATAATATACCTGCTACCATCCTGACCATAGTAGAGAAATAGCTTCTACTTTGATAGATTTGCTCATTTTTGAAGCTAAATTTCTATGTCATTCTCACTACTGTCTTACATTATTCATTAACTAATCACTATTTGTGCTTCTGAGAGTAGTTCGTAACTTTGGAAATAAAGAGGAGATACACAATTGTCTCCCTGATCATAAAGCAAAGACTATTTTACTTAAGTCACAAATTAAAAATAATTAGTTACTTGGGCAAGGCATGATGTACTACTTCAGAAAATGTTGGACATTATTGTATGCTTCCCAAATATCCAAAGTCATTAACAAATCATAGATTTAACACATGGAACATTGGAGAAAGTAGTAGGAGATGAGGTCAGTAGGAGACTCAGGGCTGTGGTTAGGATCAGTGGGAGCAGCGCAAGTGGTGAGTAGGGGTTGGATGCTGGGTATATTTTAAAAGCAGTGCTGTTGGATGGATTGTTGAGGAACAAAAGATGCAACTCAAGGTTGATTTCAGGGGAAGGAAGGGGTTGTCATTTATATTAGATTTTTAGGCATGCTGTAACAAATTTTCACAATCTGGGTGGCTTAAAATGACAAAAATATATTCTCTCACCATTCTGCATGCCATAAGTCCAAAGTCAACATGTCAGCAAGGCTCTATGTCCTCTGGAGTTTCTAGGGGAGAATCCATGCTGTGTCTCTTTCATCATCTGGTGGCTGTTAGCATTCATTGCATTCTCGCTGACATCTCTCCAATCTCTGCCTCCCTGGTCATGTTGCATCCTGCTCTTCTGTATCTTAGGGTACTTGTCATTGAATTCAGGGCCTACCCAGGCAATCTAGAATAATATTTAGTTAAGAACGTTTCCTTAATTATGTTTACAAAGTCCCCTTTTCCAAATAAGGCAATATTCACAGGTCTTAGGGATTTGGGCTTGGACATATCTTTTTGGAGGCTATACCTGATAACAGCCTGAGCTGTCAGATTAAATAATAAGGTATTATTACGAAAGATATTTATTGCATTGGTCATGTTAAATAATAGATAATTAAATCTCCACAAAAATCCAACATTCTGCTCAAATTTAGCCATTATCTGCATTCTTCATGAGGTACTTTAATCCAAACTGTTAAAATATATGAATTATTCACTTTTGAATTTTAATTTTTCTCCCTTTCACCAATCTATAGTTTGCTAAGAAAGCATTTATTTATTCATTTATTCACCAGATATTTATTCAGTGTCTAGAGTGTGCAGTCACCATGCTAGGCAATTCAAAGATACAAAAATAATTAAGAAGTAATTTCTATCATTAAAGAATTTATATGTAATACTTTGGCCCAAATTTGTGCTTATTCCCCATACTCTGTTTTCATGTAGCTTGTAAGCACATAGCTTACTTACAGATAGTGTTTTGTGAATGAGAACATGGATGACTAATTCTCCTTTGCTAGTTAAGAATGATAATGGTCGAAAAATCTTTCTCTTGCTTTTTGTTTTGCAATCCCTGCCCCTCCTTACATTCAGAAAGTTGAAGCAATTATAAATTGTTAGCTTCAGGTTCCAAAAGTGCTTCAAATCGCAGGAACAAGACATCAGAATGAATACATAGTGGGTGGAATCAGTTTATTTGGAGGAGCTTTTCCTAGAAATAACCCATCCTACAGTCTGATTTGGAGAAGAGAGTTTACTGAAGGGACAGAAGTGCTGGGAAACAAGCAACACAAAATATAACTAATGTAAAAGAAACTGTAATCTTGGAAATGGAAGCATGTTAGTGACAAATGGTCCTTATGGAGTTTAGGAAAGAAAAAGTTGGTGAGAGTATTTTTCAGTGTTTATTCATGCCCACTCAACAGGAGGAAGAGACTATATTTGATGTCACTAGTGACCTGATCACTTGAAAAGAGAAATTCTCTGATCTCTGAGAGATTGATTTAAATAATTTGCACCAGGGGTTCCCAACCCCTGGGCCACGGATGGTTAGGAACTAACTGGGCCAAATAGCATGAGGTGAGCACTGGGTGAACAAACAAAGCTTCATCTGTATTTACAGCTGCTCCCATCACTTGCATTACTCCCTGAGCTCCACCTTCTGCCAGATAAGCAGTGGCGGCATTAGATTCTCATGGAAGGGCGAACCTTATTAGAAGGGTTTTAGGTTGTGTACTTCTTATGGGAATCTAATGTCTGATGATCTGTCACTGTCATCCATCACCCCCAGATGGGACCGTTTCATTGCAGGAAAACAAGCTCAGTGTTCCCATTGAGTCTACATTACGGTGAGTTGTATAATTATTTCATTATATATTACAATGTAATAATAATAGAAATAAAATGCACAATAAAGACAAGGCACTTGAATTATTCTGAAACCATTCTCTCACCCCTTCGTCTGTGGAAAACCTGTCTTTCATGAAACCTGTCCCTGGTGCCAAAAAGGTTGGGGACTGCTGGCTTACAGGACTTCTCAACCTCCTTTGCAGCAAACCTGGACCCATAGAATGAAGACCAGATTGTTATTATAAGGAACTTGGAGACAGAGCCTGGTGCATAATGTGAGTCTAATAAAGGTTAGCTATTATTATAATTTATTATTTTACCTTTCTTGCTATTTCTTCCAGAGGGATCAAACTTCTGGGAGTAACACTGATGAAACTGAGTTTGTAAACCTTGGCCTAGTCTAGACTGTGATGATTCTGGTCAGTATGTGATTTGTCATTTAATGACTCTGGAAACAGCTGTCCGGTTTTCTCCTTATGTCACGACAAGAATATTTCCTGATGTTAGATTTTATCAAATATTTGTTAAGTTGTACTTTGCAAGCATTGCTGCAGCATGGTATCTCTGAGAGGTTTTGTTCTGTTCTGTATTGAGGGGTTGAAAGTCATTAGAAGTATTTCTGTGGCTCTTTGATATGAGGAAGCACCCACTGGTTGGGTTCCACCTAAAAATTAATTCCATGTTGTGTAGAAATCATTTCTATGGCTTCCTAGTGTCACTATGGAGTATTTTCTGTGTCCAACTCTAATTTAAAAAATGTAAGCACTGATTGAGTTACAAGCCACTATTAAACTCAATAAATAAATAAATAAATACTTATTTATTGAGTTTAATAAATACATATTAACTTTCCAGTTTTTGTTTTTATTCTTAGACTTGGTGAGGTATCTGAATCCTGTGAATAACAAAATTTCCAAATGCTATCTAAGTATCACAGTATCTAAAAGTATCTTGTGACAGTCATGTAACCTACATATTACCCTTATAAAATGAAGCTTAGGCAATTATGTATCACTATGAAAGTGTTAACTAATTGTATTAGATCTGGTCCTGTATGAAGGAATAAATTCAGAGATGAAGGTGAGATGATGAAAGAAAATTAATAAGAAACGTGGAATAATTTAAACTTTTTCTCCAGTGGATTGTTCCCAATGTCTCTTTGTTAATTCTTAATTAGTCATGTGATATACATTATACATGGTTTGGCAATGTTAAACTGTCTCTCCTATAGATACTGGAATTTATTTCTAGCAACAAAACTAGACTTTTGTTTGGAAAAGATAATTGTTGAAAGGGAAAAGAAGGCTATAATTCAATTGCCTTTTCACAGCTGGAGAGAAATTAATTTTAGCCAGTGTTAGAAAAATTACATTCTATAACATTTATTTTGCTTTGAATAAATGCAATATTAGCTTTAGTGGTGAGTCTCTAGTGTACCTGTTTCATTTTAACAAATGAAAGAAACTGAGAAATATTTAATGTCTAGCTCAAGGACACAGGGAGTTGTAATACAACTCAAATCTCTTGACTTCTAATCCAGGACATTTTTCACTACTTTTCATTCTTTTTATAGTTATTTTAATTATAAAATCATTGTAGAAAGTACTAATGGTATGGACTGAATGTTTGTGTTTCCCTAAAACTCAGATGTCAAAGTCCCAAATTTCAGTGTGATGGTATTGGGAGATAAGTCTTCTAAAAAAGTAATTAAGGTTAGATGAGGTCATGAGGATAGGGCCCTCATGATAAGACTACAGCCCCTTATAAGAAGAGATACCAGAAAACTTTCTGGTCCTCTCTCCACTACATGAGGACACAGCAAGAAGGCAGCCATCTGTGAGCCAGGAAGAAACCCCTTTCCAAAAACTGACCATGCTGGCACCCTGGTCTTAGACTTCTAGCTTCCATAGCTATGAGAGAATGTGTTTCTGTTGTTTAGATCACATAGTAGGCGGTATTTTGTTATGAGAGATGAGCAGCCAACAGCAAATAAAAAAATGCTTTTTTTCATATGGCCAAATTTGGCTATTTTCACATTGATTTGGTGATGTTGCAAGTATTGACATTACAGTTAGAAAGTAAGAAGTGTACTCATCCCTGCAATGCATGCTAAATTTCTGCAACTTGCAAATTCACAGTTGTAGACAGAGGTGTATTGTATAATGTATGAGCAAATTCTGTTCTTGGGCCTGCCCTTGAGATGGGTCTGCTCATGCAAACAAAGATTAATTTGATTAAAAAGAATATTTATTATGCCTTAGAATCTTTCTTTCAAAGGAGAATATGTTATTCACTGTTGAATGTTCAGGGCTAAATTAGGTGATTCCTAATTATCTTGGTTAAAGAAGTTAGTAGCAGAGGGAGTTTTGCATTCTTTATTCTGCGAGGCATCCATCCACATTATTACCACAGCTTCCAATGAGATAAGAATTATTTGGCAGGGTAAAATTAGCTACAACAGCTTCTACTGAAACCAGAAACTTAACATTTAGGAAGCAACTAATATCAAAAGTAGTTGTTTCTATTCACACTTTTACATGGATTCTTTTCACACCAGAAAAAAAAAATAGCTCTTGATTTTTCTTATTGTAAGTCAAATCTGGATGAGAAATGTATGTTTGAGGTGGGACACTGTGGCTAAATCTCAGTTTTGGATTAAGAACTCTCAGGAGAGGACAACTTATTCTTGTTTAAATCCAAAGTAAATGCATACAAGGGCATTGATTGCATTGCTGACTATAATAGAGAACTGTCTGGAACGATTTTTTAAATGTACTGGTTAATAGCGGTTATCTCTGAGAAATGAGACTGTTATCATATTACATTTTTTTACTTTATGTATTTCTTTATTATTGCAATATTGTTAAGGAAAAGATAACCAATAGTTTTTTTAAAGCTTTTTGGTAAAGCTATGGTTTAAAAACCAGTGAGTTAAAAATCAGAAATAAAGTATATTTCCTTTTGGTAAAAAAGAGGCATTTAAGAAAGCAACAGTATAGAGATACCTAGAATATAATATAGGTTACATTATAAAAATGGACCAGTACAGCAAAAACAAAATTTCAAATTCTCCAAAATACTTATTTTGAGATTTTTTTTTTCCTGTAATGCCAGGGTGCTTGTGTAGGAATAACAATAATGGTATGTCCTATCAGTTTTATAGCTTACCAATTAAAAGACACTCTCTCATTTGAGCTCAACAAGGATGCTCTACAGTAGGGAGGGCAAACATGGCTTTCTCATCTTACTTGTGATGAACTGGGGCTCGCAGAAATTAAGTGAATTGTCCAGGTTGAAAGGATAGGAAAACGGTTGAATCAGAAGTTTAAATAAAGTCCGGTATTCTTTCCTTTATAGAGCTCTACATTCACTATTGCCACTTACCTCCCATTCTCTCCTGAATATCCAATCACGTTTTCATGCCTGTCATTCCAGCGAACTCACTCTTATCAAGGCCACCAAGAACCTCCATCTTGCCTTAAGAATGGTCAATTTTCAATCCTTATTTTACTTGACCTCTTGGAGCTTTCCTTTTTTAAATTTTCAAAAATACTTTTTGAATAGGTAATACATGTATATGCTATAACATTCCAAAGGTACAAAAGAATATGAACTGAGAATAAGTTTCTCTTCTATCCCACACAGTTCTTATGCCCAGATGTAACTTTGTAACTAGATTATTGTGTATCCTTTGAGATAGTCTAGGCATATCTAAGGATATATGTTTCTTTATTTTTTTGTTTTCTTGTATAAGAGATAAGTAACATACTAAAGATATTAACATACTAAAGATACAAACTTTGACTTGTTTCATTCAGTCATATAGCTTCAGGAGCCTTTCATATTGTACCTATAGAGCTACCTCATTGTTTTTAACTGAATAGTATTTCATTTTCATGATGAAGTATAATTTGTTTAGATAGTTATGTGATAATATATATTTGAATTGTTTTTAATCTTTTGCTATTGAATTTAATTTTGGGATCTATATCCTAGTTTGTCATTTTGCATATGTCTAAATATACTATAGGATGAATTTCAAGAAGCAGAATTACCTAGTCAAAGGGTGTATTTACACCAGAAATTTTGATATTGCAAAGTTGTTCTCAAAAGAGAATGTGCCACTATATATACCATCTCCCCACCACAATGTCTGAGACTGTTCCATATAGCCTCACCAATATAGTGTGTTATTAAACTTGTGGTCTTTGTTTATCTGATGGGTGAACAATAGTATCCCAATGAATTTTAAATTTTGTTTTATCATGAGGAAGGTTGAATATCTTTTCATTTCCAAGAGCCATTTGTATCTCATTTTTTATGAACTGTATTCTCATATCCTTTGCTCATTTGTTTTCTTCTGGAGGTGGCTACCATGCTGATTGATCTCAGTCTTTTGGCTAGGTCTTCTTCTTTTATAGATCTCGAAATGCTGGAATGCTCCAGTGCTCTTTCCAGCTTTCTTTTCTTCATTTTGTACTAACTATTGAATGAGTTTCCCCTATTCTATATAAGAGGTGATGCCTTCCAAACTTACAACTCCAGTTCAGGCCTCTTCTCCAGACTTTTGTATAACTGCCTGCTTGACATCACCTGGATTTCTAATAGGCATCTCAAATTCAATATGTCTCAAGCGTAACTCCTGATTAACTCCCTTCCTCTCCAAGTAACTTCCATTTCACTAAAGAGATCTGCCATTCCACCAGCTGACCAAGCTAAAACATAGAAGGCATTTTTTATTTCTCTTTTTCTCACTTTCAGTAGCCAATTCATCAGTAAGCCTACCAGCTTCACCTTTAGAATATAGCCTGAAACCTACCAATTCTAATTACTACCACTGCTACTATCATTTCTCTTGCTACTGCTGCTTCTACTATGCCAACCCAGTCCTCCTAATATCATTACTTATCTAGATGAATTCAGTAAGCTTCAGTTTCCAATCTTGTTGCTTTCTAGTTTATTTTCCACACAGCATTCAAGATGAGCTTTTAACAAGTCAGACCATGTCACAGATCTGTTAAGAAGCAGCCACTGACTTTCTATCATACTTATAACAAATTCCATTCCCCTTTGATAGTCTAGGTCATCTAGCCTCTACCTACCTTTGTGATTTTTATCTCTTGTCATTTCTTTCTGTAGTTTCCAAACTGGTATTCTAGTTATTCTTTGGATACACTAGGCTCATTCTTCCCTTAGAACCACTACATTTTCTGTTTCTTTGGTTGGATTTCCCCAGATAATTGCATATCATGCTTCCCCTTTCATTTTGGTCTCA